TAGTCAAGTGACATTTTTCACTGATCTTACTTGTCATGCTAGGCTAAGGCACAGGCACAGTGAGAGAAAAAAAGACCATTAAAAAATAAAATATCTACAGAAGTCATCAGTTAAAATCTGCAGACAAACTATACATAATGGCGAAAAAAGGAAAAGTTAGATGACAGAAATGTGAGAAGTTTATTTAGCAGCATCCTGTTTGACTCTTGGCCGTACGACAGAGCTTTTATTATTCTACTGCGTCCCAGTACTCCTCAAACAAACCCACTTAATTAAATCCTCGAATGAAAATGTGTTTGTGAAAAGAAAAGAGATATTCCATGCAGAAAACACTTCTGCAGACAATTCATGGCCCTTTGTTTTCCCAACGAGGGCTTCTTTCACTCCAACCCAGATTGTGTCTGTGTTTGTTGGCTTATAAGTCTGTGGATTTATTTCCAACTGACTTTTATTTTTTTTCCTTCTATTTTTCAGAATCTCGCTAGACTGTGGTGTATTTTTATATCGCTGCAAGCTGACAGTCATAGACCCAATTTAATACGAGCGATTAAAATATGCAAGACACCCAGTATTCTGCACGTGACAATGTGCTGGGATTTTAGTGGACTAATAAGGCATCTTTTTTTAGGTCAGGAGATGTTTTCTCGGAAAGACAGTCTTGATTTGTTGGCAGCTCATATTTTGAGGATGGTTGGTTAATAGTTGGAGTGCTGTGATACTGAAATTTGTAATTTTACCTCTGATAATGTTTTTCTGAGATTGCTTGGGATGAAATGATAAACAGTGTTTGATCGTTATCCATTTTAACACCAATATTTTGCAGGACACCCGCTGAATAATAATATATCTGATTTCTTTTGAACATTATTTTATCTGTTTCAGTTTGAAATTAGATTACACAAGTATGCTTAAGACACAGCTCACAAATTCCAGTATATGTTTTTGTCTGGTTTAAGTTCTAAAAATACAGTATTGTGTAAAAGTCTTGAGCAACCCGTCATTTAAAAAAAAATATTTTGCTAGAAAATGGGAAGCAAGTGCAGTGTTTCACTGAAATGTGGACAAACATACATGGAAATACAGTATTTAAGGCAAAAGTTTGCACAATTCTAAAGAGCTTGAAAGTCAATATTTGGTATGACCAGCTTTATTCTTCAACACAGCCTGAACGCTCTTAGGCAAGCTTTCTTGTCATTTCAGAAAAATAGTTCTCTCGGGTCTTTGAAGGGCATTTCAAAGCTTTACTTTGAATGCTGGCTGTCTTGTGTTAGATTTTCTTTCAAGATGTCCCCACACTACTTCAACAATAATAATAATAATAGTGTTTGGTCCAGGCTCTGATAGTGTTATATTGTGTGTTTTTTGATCCAGGTATGCTTTTCCTGCATTTGAAGTGTGTTTGGGATCATTGTCATGCTGGAAAATGAAGTTATGGCCAATGAGACCCTTTCCAGGTGGTATTGCAGGGTGGATCAAAATGTGATCCTACTTCTCTGTGTTCATAATAACACTAATTTTGACAAGGTCCTTGTGAAATGCACTACACACAGGTACACACACGCACAGTCTTTGTCTCCAGATGCCACGTTTATTTATCGTTTCCTTTGTTATGACCGACCACAGTCTGACAGCTGTCGGTCTCAGCTGATTTCCAGCTCTCCTCCGCTCCTCTCCTGTCTCACTATAAAAGGGAAGGAAACCATCATCAGTCCAAAACGCCATTAGCTGTTCTCACCTGCGTCTCCAGCACCGCCCTGTTGAGCTCACCGCACCACTCCTCCCCTGCAGCCGCGCCCAGGACCACACCTCCGCCACAGTCCCCAACTCTGGTTGAAATCCAGTCCCAAACCATGAATGTAAGCACTCAATGTTGTACCTCTTTCCTGACCTCCAAACATTCCCCCTCCAAAAGAACGGTTGTAACCGTTGTAACCGTTGTAACTTAGGGGCGACCATGGCTCAGGGGGGTTGGGAAGCGTATCTGTAACCGGAAGGTCGCCGGTTCGTTCCCCGGGCTCTCCTGGTCGTTGTGTCCTTGGGCAAGACACTTTACCCTACTGGTGGCCAGAGGGGCCGATGGCGCGATATGGCCTTGCTTCTGGCTACAACCGTAGCTTGCCTCCACCAGTGTGTGAGAGTGAATGAATAGTGGCATTGTAAAGCGCTTTGGGTGCCTTGAAAAGCGCTATATAAATCCAATCCATTATTATTAACTGATTTTCTGTCCAGTTCTTGTGTCATTTGGCATACCTCAGCATCCCCTCTACTGAGATCATGTCTAATGAGTCGTCAGCAAACAGTAGATGGATAGGCTGAAGAACTTAAATAGTTCAGGTCCTGTATGACTACTTTGATATAGATGTTTTATTTTTAGGAATACAAATTTTCTTGTTTAGCTTCCTCTGATTTGTTTGAGGACACATTGCACAACATGTTGAGATATGCAAAGTTTTAAGCTAATAGCTCTTCGGGACTCATGCTACTGGTGCAAAAGTACTATCCTGCTCAAACTGTGTAATCTATGGCATTTTTAGAAGCAAAATATAAAGAAATTCGGGGTGGCTCAAGACTTTTGCACAGTAATGTACACCCACCAAGAAAATAAAGTGTGGTGCTAAAATGACATCTAACCTCAGGGGGATGCCATTAAATGTTACATCCTGTCATACTGTCATCAGCACAGGCCTGTTGTCATGGGTATATGTGCTTCCTTCTGCACTGTGCTATGGTTGGCTGGTGTAGTTTGATAGCCTACATTAAACCACCAGCAACAAGTTTTGTGGATTTCTTTTATTTGTTTGGTTGTTTTCTTTTGCTGGTTTATGCATGTAAATCTTGATCAAATCTTGCACAGCTTAATAACTGAGAAACTCACACCACATTCATTCGTAGATGTATAAATAGCACCACAGGCAAGAAGAAAAATATGTATCTTTTGGATGCCATCAAATGCTAATACAGGTTGTTACAATTTGTTAAAGCTATTCCTCCTGTGTTATAACAGTGGAGATTTGTTCCAAACCACAGATTGAATCATGAATAATGCGGCTTTTTTTGTGTGAGCATGGTTCATGGTAAGAGATATTTTTGGCGCAGGGAGTCCATGGCAGTTCATGTTGTGGAGGGAACATGCATGATCTGATTGACTTGACTGGGAATCAGAGACCAAGAGTGCATTAGCAGTAGAGACATGGCGCCAAAGGAAACACCTTTAACATGAATTGCATGTTTCAGCCGTTGCAGCATTATAGTCACTTTTAATCTAAGCTCTGCTAGAAAAAAAGGAAACAAAGCATTGTGTCTTGTGAAATTCAGTAAATTGAATGATACATGTTTTTCTGGGGATATTTATGTGGTGAAATAATAAGATGATGGGTAATTTGTCTTTTTAAAAAAAATTATCCTGCACATTTAGATTTGCCTTCAGAGGCCAAATACCTTCTGTTAGGTGGAGCCCACTGGAGCGGAGAGCAGGAATGTGGAGAGGGATGGTAGCTCTACAGTGTGTTTACTGTAATGAGAAGCAGACAGAAGGAACTCTGAGCTGCTATTGTTGTGCACAGGTTTGCTTTGGATTCCCGTCTCACCCTTAGGCTACAAAGCCATGAATATTTAAATAGGAAAGGGACTTCCTCTAAGCATCAATCAAAACCCCATCTATTCAATTACTGGCTTCAGATCTGAGATGCACAACCAGCAGCTTCTGATGAGGAGAAATTTTGCCCGTGGCAATGCCCGTGAATATTCCAACCATGTGGACGATCAGTCAATTAAAAACAGCCCCTCAATCGCTGGCAGACTTTTAAGAGTGAAAAGTTGCTGGATATTTATTCAGCGACACTGAGCTTGGAAGAAAGTTTAAGTCCATTGAATAAGGATCAGAATACAGAGGAATAATCCCAATAAGGAAATATAACCCCCGTTGTCTTGCGAAAAAAAAACTGTAGGCGGTATGAAACATCTAATTCAATATTTTTTCATGAAGTATGTTGAATAGGCTCAAATTCAAAGGCACTTTGTCTCCAAGCACATTTCAGCCATGATAAATACCGAGGGCTAGCAGTGTTTCTTTTTTATTTGAAAAGTTCAATTGAAACTGTTTTCATGCATGCGTGCGTGGGTGTGTGTGGATACAGAGAAAGGAGATGAAATCAGATACACAAATAACAATGTAAAAAAAAAATGATGATAGTGATGAGAAAGGAAAACAACAGCTTTGGACACCTGTTCAAAGGCGTTCTGTCAGGCCTCCCCCATGAGAAAAAGATGAGTCACGCTGGCAGAGGATCAGTTGGTCGGAGGTGTGTCATTTATAGCGGCCCGACATCTCTGTCAGTGAGCGATTGCACAATGCTCCCACAATCTTTTTTAACCACAACAACAACCGGCTCTGCCTGCTGAGAAGCTGTGCTTGACACAAACCTATCCTCTGTTAACAAGAGCCAGGCACATCAGCCAGAGTGCTGTTCTTGGCAGTCAGCGTCGGTCGTCTATGAAAGACAGATCGTGCAGCGAGAGGCCAGAGGACTGGGATTTTTACAGCAACCACGGCAGTGCTTGGTTAACATCATGTTTACTTTGTGTATTATCTTTAGAAATTGTTACTTCCTCATCTTTATTCATACTAATTGGGTTAATCAAACATCACAGCGTTGTATCCTGTAACAAATGGCTGTTTTGGTTTTATAGGAATGAGAACGCCAGACTTTGCCAACACAGCAGTGGGACCAATGACCAGAGGAACATTGCACTAAACACACTGATCAAAGCCATAGTTAAACATCTTGGGAATACGCCTGCCCGCTTTGTTGTCACGAGCTAAATAGAAGGATCAATGCAACTATATGTAAAGCAAAAGAAAGGAGATATTAATCCTAACATAGCATAAAAAGTGATAGCGAGGTTAAAAGCTAGCCAAGGTAGCTAGCAACAGAACTAATATACCAATGCTAAGCTCATTAATCATCATATCTTTTCTTATTGTTTCTTACTATTTCCAGGCTTTCAGTCGGTTTCTTCTAAGCAAGAAGGCAAATACTGAAGAGCTTCTGATGTTTTGCAAAGTAAGTAAATACATTTACAGTATAATCAGCTACACTTTGCTTTCAAATTCTGCAGTTTCTTCACTGGTTATTTTCCCACGAATGGGAATGAGCGTATTCATTATCAGACATTACACTGACTTCGTTGCAGGGTAATATTTTCACTTTCATGTGATATTAATTGAAATGTTATGCAGCAACCCACTAAAAAGATGATGGTAAAAGATTGTCAGAGTTGAAAAGAATCTGCAACGCATTAAGAGCCTCGCTCCGAGGAGCAGATGAAAGGCGCTGCCCTTATATTAAAAGAACTTCTGGGGAGGTGAAGGATTCTCCTCAGGAGAAATCAGAAACACTCTTTTCCCACTGGCTCACTGACAGTAACTCACCAGGCCGTCAATCCATTTTAATCAAATTACTGTGATGTTTCAAACGGTCTATTTGAAAAGTGGAATGACATAAGGAGATTGCTAAACTCACATTATGGAGGCTGTTTCCAATCAGATCTGCACAATATTTCATTGTCTTTGGAGCTTTGCTTTTAAGGCCTATGAGTATGAGAAGAGATGAGCGCAGAGACGAACTGAGCCCAGCGAGATCTTTGGCAATATCATCCAATCCCAGATGTGAGAGGAGGGAGTGATGGTAAACATGGCACAAATTATATGGAGCAGTAAATTATTTATGAATTGAAAGAAAGAACATGTTTGTTTTCTTTAGCACGTATGAATGACAACCGCAGCGTGTTCATGTGTGAACTGCGGGTCAAACTCCAGGGACGATCCATGTGGTTTTGCAAGAGTCATATCTTTGAGGTGTTTCGCCAGATGATTCGGCTTGAGTTATGTTGAGTAGGATAATATGGAATCAAAAAAATCGAGCTCTAAAATAACACGTGAGTGTGTTCCAGGCAGCACACATTAATATAAGAGTCCGGGAGTAAAGTGAGCTTGGAAAACATGCCGTAGGGTTTTGTTATAAGCGATGAAAAGCAGATCATCCCAAAAAGTATCAGCTAAGTAGCTGATAATGTCATTTATCCCAAAGGTGGGACGTGGTTAACAGGCACTTACCATCAAAGCGTGGAAAAAGAGAGATCATCCCTTGTTAAGCTGTGCGGTGAAAACCTTCCTAACATGTACACCATATGTTTTTTTGCCCCTCTTGAGCATCATAAACGTGTTGCAGGCTGCGCAGGCACAGCGTCCTGACAGTGAATCACAGAACTCCCTCAGCTCACCTAAATCTTGGCTCCACTCAACACCTCAGCACAAACGGAACTGTTTATGTTGCAAACAGGCTTGAAAAAGCACACGTGTAATGGTGCATTTAGACAAGGGATTTACGACCAGGACGTCAGCAATGTTCCAGATCCGCCCAGCGCAGGTTGAAGACAGTCTGTGCCAGATATTTCCATCTAAGTCACCAACAAAGGCTTCTTTGCTATGACAATGAAGCTTTTGTAGATATATCAGCCTGAGCTGCTCACCACTGTCCTCGCCCTCTGAGGCAAACAAGACCGGCCTGTGCCTCCGAAGCTTGCTGAGGTGCAGGAACTGGTCAGTCTTAACTGGGGTTGTAAACTGAAGAAATGAAAGCACTGGGTGTTGCTTGCATGCCTTGTTAATGAGTTTATGAAGGTTTCACAAGTTTTAGCTAACAGTGTAATTCATCATTCATATCTTTACTTATTTAGGGAAAATAAGGCCAATGTTTGGGCAAACTTGATAGTTTATTGGAAAGTTTAGTGACAGAACTTGTAAACAATTACACATGTAGAGTTTATGGATTAAGAGAGGGTAAGCAACTAATAAAATAAAAAATTCTATTACATTTAAGCTGCTCCCTTATACACAGTAGGTTACCACAGCAGGTAGCTCAGTATGTTTAAACTGGGAGGTTTTTATGCCGGATGCCCTTCCTGACACAACCCCCACAGGGATTTGAGTCTCCTTCCAGAGACAAACTGGTGATCTTTTGCCTGCTAGGCAACTGTGCAAACCACTACACTATGGTCTATTATAAGTAAAGAGATTAAAATAAAGTGGGCCTTTTGCTAAAAGGACTATAAAACTTAAGAGACCTTTGATAAAAGATTCTATGCTGAAATGTGTTTATTGTTTATTCATTAAGTATTAAAATGTTTATGAAGCAACTAGTCAAGCATGTTTTATAAATGTCTCATAAAGAGTGAAAGAAAATTACAAAATTAAAAATACATGACCTATTAGGTTGAGGAGAACATAAATTACTATTTTGTATATTGAGACATGCTGACTTATAGCTTTATACTTTAGACTGTATATTTTTAACAGCCTTATTCTTTTTTTTTTCTGGTCTGTATGTAAAAGTTTACTGACCAATGTTGACGTGTTAAGTTCACCAGGTGGAGTATCTGTCTGTCTGTCTGTTTTTGGGATATGCCAAAAGATGACAACGACGGTGGAGCAGAAGAGCATTTGACTTTCACCAGCGAGCCCCTCTGTTTGACATCATGTTTTCTTAATGAGAGCCAGCTGCCCCCAACATCAGCATTCTCCTTCATACCAGCATGAAAAAACATGAAAGTTAGAACTTTAAACATGTCCAGATTCCTTTGTACGCCACGGGCAGTATTAGCCTGCTCGTCAGCATTACAATCAATGGTGCCTGTGATCATCAAGGGTGGAAATGAGCGCTTAGCCTTGGAGCACACGCACAGGATGAAATACTGCACATTCATTATGTAAACAATCTGGTTTGCTGAGCCATGTGCAAGTTTTTTCCCCGGTGTACTGACACCGACATATTCATAGACAATAAAAATGAAATAAAATAACTAAATAAATAAATTTCCAGGTGCTAATTTATATGCTGTTCTCAGAGGTTTAAAAGCTTTTGCTTCTATGACCAGTCACTGCAGATAATTTGTTCTATTAAAATCTGTTTCATGCTCCCTTTTCAGTCTCATGCTGCTTTTATGACTTACTCGGGGGGGGGGGGAATTAATAGAATTGGTGACAAATATGTCAATGCTACTATCACAAAGAGTTGGCCACTGATAGCTGCTAACTCCTTGTGGCATCAGAAAGGTGCTGTAAACTTTCCTTCGAGATCTTAGTCCATATTGACATGACAGCATCACACAGTTGCTGCACATTTTTTATCTGCACATCCATGATGCAGATCTCTTGCTAGAACTTTCATATGGAGACTTTGGAGGTACAGTGAACTCATTATCATGTTCAGGAAACCAGTTTGAGTTTATGTGAACTTTGTGATGCCACACGATGCGTAATTTTACCAGAAGCAGCCGTCCTTAAGGGGTCCACATGGTCAGTACCAATACTCAGGTTGGCTGTTATGTTGGAAAGGGACCCAGATGCTAGGCAGGATGAACTCATGCTGACCCTGGCAATGTTTTTCCGGTCTTCCATGTCCAATGTTGGTAAGCCTGTGCAAATTCTAGAGACAGTGTACTGTTCTCAGCTAACAGGGGTGGCACCTGGTGTGGTCTTCAGGCACTGAAGCCCATCGGTCTCAATGTTAGACACGTTGTGCATTCAGAGATGCTTTTCTGTATACCTTGCTTTCAATGAGTGGTTATTTGACTTACTGTTGCCTTTCTATACACTCAAAGCAGTCTGGACATTCTTCTTTGACCTCTGTCACCAACAAGGTCTTTTCATCTGCAGCTCACTGGACATTTTCTGTAAACCCTAAAGATGGTTTTGTGGAAAAATCCCACCAGATCAGCAGTTTCTGAAATACTCCAGTAAGCCCATCTGGCACCAACAACCATAACATGTTCAAAGTCCCTTAAATCACCTTTCTTCCCCATTCTGATATTTGCTTTGAACTTCAGCAGGTCATCTTGACCATGTCTACATGCCAACATTGATGGAATTGCTGGCATGCGACTGATTAGATAGTTGCATTAACAAGCAGTTGAACAGGTGTCCCTAATCAAGTGGCCAGTGAATCTATCTTGATGTATATTGAATGAGATTTTCGAAGAAGAAATGTTTCCTTAGCTGGAATAAATGCAGCTTTCCTTGAAGAAGATGTCTGCTTGGCATATGTTGCTCCAAACCTGTATCAATGGTGGTTCACAGATGTGCAAGTTACTCATGCTGTGTTCACTAATGCACCCCGTACCATCACAAATTCTAGCTTTTGAAATGTGTGCTGATAACAACCTGGGTGGTGTCTTTTGTCATTTGCTTTAAAAACATGGTGTCCATGATTTCTTAAACGAAAGAAAGAAAGAAAGAAAGAATTTTTTGCATAGAAAGGTTCTGACTTCCATTTGTGGATGTGGTGAAAACGATGTTCACATGACAGATGTGTTTCTGAGGTCATGCAGTGATTTACAGTGATAGAACTGGGTTTCTTTTTATACTAAAGCACCATCTGTGAGTTTAAAGACTATTGCTGTTCAGATTTGTTTCTTGCACTTAGGGAATTCTTGATTCTCGGAATCTTTAAACCATACCGTGCACCTCAAATGAGAAATCTTCACTTTTCCATTGGCAATCATTATTTTTAATAGGCTTGGACCTCATCTTTGCTTCTGAAAACCTCTTGCTCCCTGGGACTCTTTTTTTAATATATATATATCAGGTTGTTTTGCTAATTAACTGTATTAGCTGTGAGATGTTCCACCAGGTTTTTGCTTTTTTTGCTATTTTGAAATGCGTTTCATTAAAAACTTAACACTTAAACTAAAAATAATGACCTTAAGAAAGAAGTAAATAGATTTATAAATACCTGTTTCAACAGTTTATATATTGTCTTTGCGTTATTTTCATTTCATTCACCTTTTCTTTACATTTTACTTAGCTTTTCAATATTTTGGTTTTATTTTTTCTAAAAAAGAGGTAAATGAAATGTGTTGATTTTAATGTGTGAACCACCCCCTCAAAACATATTTTCACTGCTCTTTTGTTCTGTCACCCGAGTTTATTTTGAGATATTGAAGACACAGAGGCACTGAAGCGCCGTGTTTAGACTACAAGTGATGTCTGTCATAATTTCTTCTTTTACTGTAACGCACTTTGAAGAGCACATGTGCTCTATCATTAACACCTTTGGATCGTTTGTATGTGTGTCTCTCTGTGCCTGCCTTGTCTTTGTGGCAACCCAGTGGGAAAAGTGGAGGAAGCTCTGCCCCCCAACAATATCTGTTTCAACATCCTCTGCGTGGATTCCCTCTGAACTCAACCCCTGACCCTTTCCTTGTCCTCGAGCCTGGGTCCTGCCCTCACACTGCCGTCCATCCTCCTGAGTACGGCTGACCTGTGAACTGTGCTTCGCCTCCGAGGCGACCCTACACAAAGGCTTCATAGGAGAAAAGAAGACAAGACAGAAAGTTTCCCCTCTTTGCTAGTCATGCTAGTCATGCCTGGGGGTGTATTATATGGTGAAAAGCTGACACCAGCCATTGATCCCAATTTAAAATGTCAGCTGTTGTAATTTGAGTTATTACCTTTAAATATATCATCATATAGCAAAATTAGCTTTAGTGCGAGCTCCCTTAGTGCACGATTGGCCACAGTGTATTGATGATTGCATAGCAAACTTCCTAACTTCATTAATTAGGAATGGGTCACTTGGGTCAGTATGTGTTTATTCTCAGGAAGGCGCATCAAGGGGATTAGCACTAATCAGGGGGGATTTTAAACAGCTCTTACCCAGATGGATGATACTCTTGCTTGATCTCTTCACTTTGTACGCCTGCAGAGAATGATGTTTGGTTTGGAAATAAGCATCTAGATAACGATTCTTCTGGTGACGTTTTCTTTGTAAACACAAACATATCGGACCTCTCGCTTACCTTTGACCCAAACTGCAAAGAACCAGATTTTCTGAGTGTCCATAATTTTATGCCCATAGATGATAGAGATGATAGACATGTAATTTATGCTGCGTGTTAATTTATTGTCAGGATCATCGGTTCACACTTCAGATTTATATATATTTATTTCAAATTTTAATATCTCTATATTGTAGTCTTGTGTTACCTCAATCAGTAGTATAATCAGATTGTAAAATACATTGTGATGTACTGCTATACTTTAATGGCCCCTGATGGCTGCTGTCTTTATCATATATTACGTCATCATGTTGCCTAGCAACCGCCTAGCAACAGGCTAAAATGACCAACATGTAACGTTTATGCACCCATAACATCTTATAAAAACGTTGTATAATTTTTGTTTCAGTATCTCTATCTCATATTGTGCACTAGTATTTGTAATATGTAGTGTCTCTCTGTGTGTGTGTATGTGTCACAATGTCCACACTTACATGTATGTGGACATATTGTGATTTAGTAAATGTATCTGCGTTAAGAAAGAGTGTGCGAGGGTTATATTTAAATTGTTGTGGATCACTTTTACTACCTCCAGAAGAATACATTAAATTATGTAGTTACTACCATAACTAAAATAACAGGTCAGTGATACTGATGTCATTTAATCTGTTCACAAATCTTTTTCTAGCAGTCCAGCATACGGTATCTCTGCTGCAAATACCACCAAATGACCCTAAATCAACATCTTTCTGCCAAAGTGTCGACAAATATGAACATTACACTGTTGAGGCTATTGGAGAGCTTTTGCATTGTTTCACAACTGATAGCACAGAAGTACCTCACAATCTGGGAACTGTTTATAAAAACAGTTCTGCACCTTGCTCTTTGTACAACCCCAGCTCAACAAATTTTATCCAAAATATACTGTGAAGAAGCATTTTCCAGGCACTGAATCCAGGAAATCAAGTTCCCTGTAGAGCTGCAGAGGAAAAGAAAAAAAGGGAGTAAGAAAAAATATTGTCTGTCTTTGGATGTGGCAGTTTTGCTTCAGTGTCCTGCTGCCTTTTAATCACAGAACAGACATGCTTTTCACTTTGTCCACCTTTAAAGAACAGGGAAAGAAGACCGTGGCTGTCAACAGTGTTGTAGTGTTGTAGCCCTGGTGTTTGTATAGTGTGTGGCATGCATGTTCTCCGATCTGGATATGTGTTCTGGTCTTCATTAGACTCAGACTGAACATCTTTGCGGCCTGACAGAGAGATCCTTTCATGTGTCCCCTGCCTGGTCCCACTCACCAGAGCCTAACCAGAAACATGCCACTGCCCAGGGCAAGGTCAGATTTCTCACCATACCACAGCATTAAAGCAACATTGCTTTTCCTAATAGAGGGGGAAAACACTCTGGTTATTTTTCATCAGTCTCACAGACAATATATTCCATCTCATCATATTGATGGAGTAGCAGCACAAAAGTCCAGGTGGAAGTAATCTGGAGGGAGCGCTTGTCTCTGCTCGATGATCTCACTGACCCGAAACTCACATGAGAGCGAAATTTGGAGCTTTCAAATTGTTCAGGTTACGATCGGTGTGATCTCAAAAGGGAAAGTGAAGTCCATCAATTTTATTTTTTTGCCTCATACTTCAAAGTCACGCTAGGATTGTACCTATCATCTAAAACTAAATTCCATCCATCCTTTAGGGAGTAGTGTTACAGTTGCTCTGTCAAGTATCGTGGAATGACCCATAAAAGCTGCTTAGATCGATAAATAGCGATGCATGGCTCATTGCAATGTTAATCTGCAGAACGGGTGCCGAGAGGTCAGAGGAAATGTGTGGGAGAAACAGCCTATCTTTGTGCTCCTCTGAAAGGACTCACTGTGATATTCTCAATCCTATTAAAAAAAAAAGTCCCTAATGTCAACCAGAAGATGGGCAAATATTTAACTCCGTGGGATTATCCACAGAGGCAAATAAATATAACTGTTTTCAGAAATGCGTTTACATTTGAAAGCAATATTTCCCTGCCTGACTTTTACAATAAAGATGCAATGTCATGCAAAGTGTATGAGCCCTCGTTGGCCTTTTACCATCCAAGACAAAGCTTTGGTACTAACGACCGGCCTATTATTTAGTTGTTG